CAGTCTGAAAAGCAACACACCACCACTACCCTCTCTTCTACCTTTGAGCTAAATTTGCATCCAAATGGCTAGTTCTCCCTGTATTTCGCGTGATCTTACCTTGCTAACCAGTTTACCTTGTGGAACCTTGTCAAACGCCTTGCTAAAGTCCATATAGGCAACGACCATCGCTCTGCCTTCAGTCCTCTGTGACTTCTTCAAATAACTCAACCAAATTAGTGAGAGGCAATTTCCCATGTACAAAGCCATGTTGACTGTCCCTAATCAGTCTGTGTTTTTCCAAATACATGTCGATCCTGTCCCTCAGAATCCCCTCCAACAACTTACCCACCATTGACACTAGGCTCAATGGTCTGTAGTTCCCTGGCTTTTTCTTACCACATTAGCCAACCTTCAGGCTTCTGCACCTCACCCATGGCTAACAATGATACAACTATCTCAGGAAGGGGCCCAGCAATCGCTTCCCACAAAGTTCAAGGGTACACTTGCTCAGGCCCCAGGGACTTATCCACCTTTATGCGTTTTAAGTTGTCCAGCACTCCTCCTCTGTAATATTGATACTTTTCTAGATATCACTATTGGATTGAAGAAAAACTTGCAGTTAGTGATGTTCCCATGCGACTGTTATCATTGTCCTTCCAGATGGTAGTAGGGCATGGGTTTGGGAGGTGCTGTCTAAGGAACCTTGGTGAATTTCTGCAGTGTTTCTTGCAGATGGCACATACTGCTGCATCTGTACATCAATGGTAGAAGGAATCATTCTATGCCAGAAGAGGTGATGGAGGCTGGTACAATTGCAACATTTAAAAGGCATCTGGATGGGTATATGAATGGGAAGGGTTTAGGAGTGATATGGGCGAAATGCTGGCAAATGGGACTAGATTAATGGAGAATATCTGTTTGGCATGGATGAATTGGACCAAAGAGTCTGTTTCCATGCTGTACGTCTCTTTGTACCAACCTTTCTTTTGGTGACATCACCGTTCCTTCACTGTCACTGGGTCAAAATGCTGGAACTCATTCTCTAACAGCAGTGTTGATGTACTTACACCAAATGGGACTCACTAGTTTAAGACGACAGCTCACTACAACCTTCTGTGGCAACTAGAGATGAACAACAAAGCCTTGCCCAGCCAGCAAACTCCACATCATTGAACGAACTGAAAATAATTGTTCTCGCCTTTGGCTTGAGCAATTTTTTGGCAACCAACACCATGTCAGCCTTCTAAGGTAGTTGAAAACATGGGTTAAAGATGTGATGACACCATTTTGGGCAAGAGTAGGAGATATTTCTCCCCAATGTTCTGAACAATATTTCTCTCTTGGTCAAGATAACAGGGTTATTTGATCGCTGTTACACTGAAGTTTGAAAAGCTTACTGAATGCAGATTATCTGTCATTTTCCAACTTTACAACAATGACAAGAATTCAAAAAATAACTAATTGGCCATAAAGTTGTTTCAACACCTCAGAACATAAAATTTAGTGCTATAGAAATGCCAACCTATCTTGTTTTCTGTGGCTGGAGAGCTATACAATGCATCAGAAGTAGGGAGCATGAAGGATGCAATAGTAAAAACCGAAAGAGCTGCGGATGCTGTAAATCAGGAACAAACAGAAGTTGCTGGAGACTCAGCAGCTTGGCAGCGTCTGTGAAGAAAAAATCAGAGTTAACGTTTTGGATCCAGTGACCCTTCCTCAGAAAAATAGTGTTTGTTGTATGATTGCCAGTTTATAGCTAAATGTTGTATGAAATGGTGATGCAGTCCTGGGAAGTTTGTTTGAGTTGGAATCTTGTGTTGACTATTTTGGATTTTATTTTTGCGCTATTGGGACCATGTTGTAGATGGCGATGCTAGCTTGGTCCTAAGTGATACCCTCCCATATTTGTTTCTGTGACTTCCTTTCCCTTTTGTGGGTATAAGACATTGGTTCACTGCTGTGGTTTCTGCCACAGCCTCAAGTACAGCCTCTGAGAATGTGCAAACCTGCTTCCGAACTCCCCTAACAATCCTGACGGTTGACACTGTCTTACACCTTCTATTTCTTTATCATCCAGAGTATCAAACCTCGTTTAGAAATTTGACCTTTGAGTCTAAGCCTATAGCTTTCTGTTTTCACACCTCCAGACGCTTTTAGATAGTGATATTCGAAAGTTAACTCCAGCAATTTGTCATTTTAAATATGTATTTTTATTTGTATATCTCCTGCTTAATGCTTGTTTCCACCCTTTCCTTTAAATAACCTCAACCAACTTTACTGACAGAGTGCATTTAAAAGGAAATAAAATGACCCTGTATGTATAAATTTGTGCATTGTCCTTGTTAAATCGATGGTGTTATGCCTGTACATATGCAATGCTTGAATTAATTTGCAATATGAGTTTGTCATATCAAGTGAGTATATAACAAAGTTTTGCACAAGTGGGGTTAGGCTAATAGGATTCTGGCCAAAATTCTTTGTTTATTTTTGTGGATTGCACAGTTTGTTTGAGATATTATTGTTCATGAATGTGCATTTGTGGCAATTTTATCTTTTGATATTTACTTTGTGATAACCTGTACATAGATAAGGGTTTTATTGTTGACTCTAGTACTGTATTAAAGCTGCACTTAAGTTGCTATTTGTGAGCTATTAATTTATTTCTTTGATTAAATTGGGCTTACAATTGTGTGGATTTTGTTTTTCAAATGAGTTACTGTCGAGTGGTCTTTGTCACTTCACAATGTGTTCCGTGAGTCAAAAATTAATATAGCAATGAGGCTGTAAAAACATCCTTATTAAACTGAAAAAAAGTTGTTTTGTATATTCAGTTGACAAATTAGAGTACATCACCCTTTTAATTTCGTTAGATGAGGTTAAGCTTTGGTCAGTTTTGGCATTCATGCATATCTTTGAGAACAATGCTTTTCAAATTTTACAGTCATAATTTGTTTTTTACATATTCTGATACATAAACAGCATTTGACTCATTGTACATAACTGTTGATACGACAGTCACTCTTATGTGAAGCTTTAAAGCCAAGATATCCTGCTTTGACTGCTTCAACATGTATATCTAAGCCTATCACATTAAATTAGAAGGTTAAAGGCCAATAGTAGTCAAGCTGTCTGTTCAAAAGGCAGGTTGTGATCAAGCAGGTAGCAACAGTTAAGTCAACGTAATGCTGCTGGTGGGGAAGCTTTGAATATATAATCTGGGACAAAAATTAATTGGCTTGGTAAAAATTTAGATAAAATCCAACATGGGTGAGAGTAATATGATTGATCTGTTTATGGACTTTCAAAAGGCAATGGATAAAGTTTTTTGTATGTTTGATTTGCTAACAGAATAGAAACCCATGGGATTAAAAGGGCAGTGATTGTGTATATGTAAAAACTGGCTAAGGAACAGCAGTGTGGTGAGTCAGTAACTTCAGACTGAAGGGAAGTTCCAGGGATGTCTGCCAGAATATTAGTGACTTGAACTTATTAAACTTGATTTCTAAATTTGAAGCTAAGATAAAGTCAAATATGAGAATGTAACATTTCAGAGATTAAAACCAAAGGGATTTTGAAGTCCTTATGCAGAAATCGCAAAAAAGGCTAGCATCTAAGTTCAGCAGGTAATAGGAAAGGCAAATGGAATATTGGCCTTTTATTTCAAAGGGAATGGTATATAAGAATAGGAAAGTCTTGCTAAAAGTATATAAGGCTCTAGTTAGACCACACTTAGATTACTGTTTGGATCCCCTTAACTATGAAAAAGTGCACCGTCATTGGAGGCAGGACGGACGGTTTACTAGATAGGTCTCGGGTGTAAAGGGATTTTGAGGAACGGTTGACTAAGTTGGACGCGTACTGACTTGCGTTCAGAAAAGTGACATTACTGAAGTACAAAAGATTCTTGGGGATTCTTGACAAGGTAAATGCGGAGAGGTTGTTTCACCTTTGACTGTGTCTAGGACCAACAGCATAGTAGGTCGCCCACTTAGGACAGATGAGGAATTTCTTCTAAGGGTGGTGCATCTGTGAATTCTTGACTGCATATGGCTGTAGAGGTTGGATCATCAAGTATATTCAAGACTGAGACACCATTTTTAATCAGTAAGGGAATCAAGGGTTGTGGGGAAAAGACAGGAAAGTAAAGTTAATTATCAGGTCAGCCATAATTAGGCTTTGCTGGAGTATTGTCCAGATGTGTTTTGGAAGAATGTCAAGGCCTTGGATGTCACCCTACACCTTCTTAAATTTTTCAGCCCTCATACGTTCTTACTTTGATACACTATTCCCTTTCCAGCCTAGCTATGTTGAGACTAGTGAAATTGGGTTGCTGTTTACGGTGCAGAGGATATGGATAGATGTGATAGTTATTCAGAATCATGATGTGTTTTGATAGAATAAATGAACAGAAACTGTTTCCAGTAGTGGAACAAGCGGTTAGCAGAGGGTACAGATTTAATGTAATTGCTGAAAGAGTCAGTGATATGACAGCATGTTTTAAACAGCAAGTTGTTATGGATTGGAATGCATTAAAGTTTATTAGGAGCAGATTTCCTAATTTTTGAAACAAAATTGGATAAATGATTGAAGGGGAAACTTTGCAGAACTGGGGAGAGATCAAATGAGTAGGACCAATTGGATAGCTTCCCCAAGAACCAGGCACAATGGACCAAATGGCCTCCACTACATCCTATACATGATTCTAAGAGCTTCTTTTGTTTGTTGAAACTTTTTTGTTTTCTTTTCAAAGTTTTTATGTAGATTGAACAGAGTTATTTAATTTTCAGGAATTCAGAAGCAGACTGTATACATTTGTGGTAATGCTAACCCCTGGTCAAAATATCTGCCCACTCCATATGTAGGCTAACATGAGTAATGGTCAATTGAATGAGGTACTGAATCTTTGATAATTCTATAGTAGATAGTGTGTCTCTCCAGAAACAGTGGGAGAAAAAGACATTGACTGTTCGGAAGGGGGAGTAAAAGATGGTATTTTTTTTTTCATGTTTTTTCTTCAGGTGCATTCATTCCTGGGGTTCCCGTGCAACCTGTGGTCTTGCGTTATCCTAATAAAACAGTAAGTACTTCTTAAAATCTGATTTTTTTTAAATGCACTTTACACATAATTATTTCAGTTTTATTAATCTAATGAAATTATTTATATTAAATCATTGTTCAATTACATTTGCTTTAAATAAAGTTCTAAATGTCATAAGCAGTTGTGTCCTAACATTTTTGAGCCCCAAGGAAAAAATGTTTTGGTTCTAAGATTTCTGTGGGCAGGTATTGCCACATATTAAAAAATGCTGTAACACTGCAAAATAGATATGGCAAACATAATTTCCTAGCCCTTTAGGTTGTAGAAAGCCCGCAAACTTTGCAGTTGCATTTCCACAGCTGTGGTTCTTTGCTAATTGTATTGGTCGTATGGTTCCAGAAAGTTTTAGATCAAATTCTGGAGTCTTTCCACGGTGGGTATGTAAAAAAGCAAGAATAAATGAAATATTTAGTTTTTTTTGCTTCCTCCTTCACATTCTCCAGGAGTCTAAGATTTCGACAATGGAGAGATACTTTCAGAAAATGTGCTACATATTTATTTTCAAAGGAAGCATTCAAAAGAAAGTTTTAATCCTTGGGTATCATCGATAGTTATTAGCTACTAGATGACCAAATTGTAAAGAAAGCTACCAAAAACAAAGCAGCATACAAAGGAAAGGCTAAGTTAATTAATTTTTGCCTTGGCTCGGTCATGCGATAGATTCTGCACTGCTTAGCTAAATATTTCTTGCATGAAAGCAAAATAATTGCTCTCTTAAGTGAATAGGCCATCTCTGCCAAAGCTGTTACATTAGAGCAAAATACAATTGCACAGTCATAATTTTTGCATGAGGTGCTTGTTTGCTAAACCAGGTACTGAACTTCCTACACTTCCTTCGGGTCTGTGAATCACACCTGTTTTAAAAAAAAAAAAAAATTCCCCTCAGTCCCTATCACATTCAGAACAAGATCAATAAGAAAGAACAAAGAAAATTACAGTACAGGAACGTATGTTCTAAGCCTGCACCAATATGCTATCCGTACACGGCTAAAACCCCCTACCCTTCTGGGGACCGTATCCCTTTATTTCCATCCTATTCATGTATTTTTTGAGACACCCTTTAAAAATCACTATAGTATCTGCTTCCAGTACCTCCCCCGTCAGCGAGTTCCAGGCACCCACCACCCTCTGCGTTTTAAAAAAAAAACTTGCCTCGTTCATCACCTTTTAAACCTTGCCCCTCACATCTTAAACCCATGCCCCCGGTAACTGACTGTTCCACCCTGGGAAAAAGATTCTAACTGTCCAGTCTGTCCATGCCCTTTATAATCTTGGAGACCTCTTATCAGATCGCCCCTCAAACTCTGGCGTTCCAATGAGAACAACCCAAGTTTCTCCAACCTCTCCTCATAGCTAATGCCCTCCATACCAGGCAACATCCTGGTAAATCTTTTCTGTACCCTCTCCAAAGCTACCACATCCTTCTGGTTGTGTTCAAATCTGGTCGCCACACTATATTCCAAATGCGACCTAACTAAGATTCTATAAAGCTGCAACATTCCCTGCCAATTTTTAGACTCAGTGCTCCGGCCGATGAAGGCAAGCATGCCGTAAGCCTTGTTGACTACCTTTTCCACCTGCGTTGCCACTTTCAGTGACCTGTGTACCTGTCACCCAGTTCTCTCTACCTCTTAAGAGTTCTGCCATTTACTGTATATTTTCCATCTGGATTAGACCCTCCAAAATGCATTAACTTACATTTTTCCCGGCTTAAACTCCATTTGCTATCTCTTTGCCAAAGTCACCAACCGATCTATATCCAGCTGTATCTGTTGACAGCCCTCATCGCTATCCGCAATTCCACCAACCTTTGTGTCATCGGCAAACTTACTAATCGGACCAGTTACGACCGAGCCAGTTTTTCTATCCATCTTGCAAGCTCACCTCTGACCCCGTGCAACTTTACCTTCTGTATCAGCCTACCATGAAGGACCTTGTCAAAGGCCTTACTGAAGTCCATGTAGACAACCTCCACTGCCCTACCCTCATCGAACATCTTCGTCACTTCCTCAAAAAACTCAACCAAGTTAGTAAGACACGACCTCCCTTTCACAAAACCATGTTGCCTCTCGCTAATATGCCCACTGATTTCCAGGTGGGAGTAAATCCTGTCTTGAAGAATCCTCTCCAATAATTTCCCTACCACTGACGTAAGGCTCACTGGCCTGTAATTAGTTGGATTATCCTTGCCACCCTTCTTAAACAAAGGAACAACATTGGCTATTCTCCAATCCTCTGGTACCTCCCCTGTAGCCAGTGAGGATACAGAGATTTCGCTCAAGGCCCCAGCAATTTCCTCCTTTGCCTCTCACTATTCTGGGGTATATCCCATCACACGCTGGCGACTTGTCTACCATAATGTTTTTCAAGACCCCCACCCCCGCCAATACCACCTCCCTTTTGATCTCAACATGACCCGAACTATCTACACACCCTTCCCCAGTCTCATCATCCACCAAGTCCTTCTCTATGGTGAATACTGATGCAAAGTACTCATTTAATACCTCACCCATTTTCTCTGGCTCCACACACAAATTCCTTGTCCCTTGAGTGGGCCAACCCTCTGCCTGGCTACCCTCTTGCTCTTTATATATGTATAAAAAGCCTTTGGATTTTCCTTAATCCAGTTGGCCAATGACTTTTCATGACCATAAGCCTGGTAATTCTAGTCAAATCCAATCATATGAACATTATCTGGAAAATTAGAGTTCAAACCCAATTAAGAGAAGAGTTATTACGTTAGTTCATTAGTAGTTAACAAACAACTGGAATGATTCTAATTGGTTTATTTTGCTTAAAACAGGAGTTCAAAGCAACTTTGCAATCTCAGGTCATCCCAGTGTGCCAGACAACTGATAGTGAATTTTGGACTGATAAGTTGGTTGTTGCTTTCCAAGAATGCCATTGAGATTCCTTGGGTTCTGTCTTAAAACCAAAACTATTCAAACAAATCATTCTCCATGGCTTTTCCTCAGCACTTAAGGTTTTCAACTGTCTCTTGAACAGTTGCAATTGGCAGCAGGATTCTAATTCCATCTATGTCTGAGAGGCTGTTACGTTATCAAACTTGGAATTTGAAAGCATGTGGGATTTTGTAGTATCTCAAGACATGAGATTCTGAGATCTTGAGACCATGCTGCCAATCACTTAGTCCTAGTCCCCTACTTTAAAAGTGAAATAACATGAGGAATTAAGTCACATATAAATTATTGCAATCTTATCCTTCCTGCATAGTTATTCATCTCTCTCTTACTTTCCAAAATAATACCATTTTGAAATGTTACATTCTAGCATTGCGCTCATTATTTTACATTTAGATCCTAGTTTCTCAGTGAAGTTGGAATGAAATATTTCCTGTTTTGCTACCTTTTTACGTTGAGGGAGGTTTTTATGGTTTAGTAAGTGCCTGTTTAAGAGTGTACACTTTCTTTATCTGTGCTTAAGTTTATTTAAGAAAAGACCTAAGTTTGCAAGAACAAAACAACTGAAAAGGCTCAGCTGGTCAGGCAGTATGAGAGAATGCGATCCCCTACTCCCAATTCCTCTGCCTCCATCACATCTGCTCCCAAGATGGGGTGTTCCACTCCCAAACATCCCAGTTGTCCTCCTATTTCAAGGACTGTAATTTCCCCACTCTGATGATCGAGTAAGCCCTCAACTGCATCTCGTGTTTCCTGCACCTCTGCCCTCCCATCCCCTCTCCCCCAACAAAAATAAAGACAAAATGCCCCTTGTCCTCTCATATCACCCCACCAACCTCCGCATCCAATGTATCATTCTCCTTCACTTCCACCACCTACAATCCGACCCCACGATCAAAGAGACAAAACAAACCTTTCACATTAGACAGGGATTCACCTGCACATCTGTCAACTTGGTCTACTACATCCGCTGCTCCCGACGTGGCCTCCTGTACATCGGATAGAACAAGCGGAGACTCGGAGACTGTTTTGTCGAGCATCTGCGCTCTGTACGTGACAAATGACAATACCTTCTGGTCACGAGCCATTTTAACTCCCCCCTCCCACTCGCTGAGTGACATATCCATCCTGGGCCTCCGCCAGTATCACAATGATGCCGCTCACAAACTGGAGCACCAGCAACACCTCATTTCACCTCGGGAGCCTACAGCCCAACAGCCTAAACATGGATTTCACCTGTTTTAAAATCTCCCCACCCCCAGCCTCTTCCCATGTCCAACCTTCCCTCTTATCCCCGCCTCCTTGACCTGATGCAACCTGTCCATCTTCTCTCCCATCTAACTGCCCCTCCCACCTCACTGACCAATCCTCACCACTCCTACCTGCACTCACTTGTCACCATCCCACCTATCTTCCCCTCTTTATTTTTGAGCTCTCTTTCCCCCTCCCCATTTCTGAAGAGGAGTCGGGACCTGAAACGTCAACTTCCTGCTCCTCTGCTGCCTGGCCTGCTGTGTTCCTCCAGCTCCACAAGGTGTTATATGTGAGAGAAACGTGGCATTTTAGGTTGTTGATGTTACATCAGAACTCATCAGAAAGACAGAGTTGCCTCATGTTAATTGTTCATTTTAAGTTAGCATTTTTAAAACTCTCATATCTATTATAGCTTACTTTTTAAAAAGTATGTTCTTCCGTAATGCTTCGTGAGTAACAACAGATGGTTTAGATATGCTGGCCAGAGTAAACTTTTTTGTCCTGCCGATTTGATGACCGTGTTAAATGTTCCTAAATATAGGATTCCTTTTTGAGGCACTAACATTTGCACCTTTACTACTTACTTGGATGAATGAAAACTGTGAAGGTATCTAAAGGTGGACCATTTTACTGGAATAGATCCACAGATTTCAATTTTAAATCCACAAAATACTGAGCATAGATGTTTCCTATGTTATGTTGCATCCCATATTTGATGCAATTGTAATTACGTTTGATTTAACATGGCAATTTACTAGTAAACTTACATATCCATTTGTACCCTACCTAGCCATTAAAAAGAAATATCAAGTTCATCTTGTAAGCATCTGTTTCTGTTGGTGAATTTTAGTTCTGTAGCAATAATGCAATGCCCTGCACTAATCCAGCTAGGCTTTAATACCTGACGACCGTCTCATTGATGAAGAATGGCATTCTTTTAATCCAAGGGAACTAAACAGATTGAAATCTCTGATTTTTGCTGATGATTCTACCCAAATTACCCTGCTGAGATCCACTGCATTATTTTTTAATTATACTAGCCCCAAACTTAAACAGCCTGAAACTGGATTCCATATTCCTATGCAAGGAAGTCATTATCTCAGTGATTTCAAGTTTTCTTGATCACCAATTAGTTGACTAATCCTTGACAGGTTGAGTACTGTTCTCTAATATTTGAAGCCTCCCATGCAGATCTCACCCCTCCCACTATTGCACCCCCCAAAAAAAAACAGATACACATGTAGACATGCAGGCAGAGAGAGGGACACATGCACCTCTCCCCCTACGCCATTGTAGCTAAATGCACAGACACAAGGGCAGGAAAGTGTCGTGAAGAAAGCACAAGACAAGTTGCAGAAGGATATAGGGTGAGTGAGCAGGTAAAAATCTGGTAGATGGTTATAATGTGGGAAAGTGTCACATTGTTCCTTGTAGCTTCAATAAAAAAGCAGATACTTAAATCAGTTCATATGTGGCAGTGTCGAGACCATATCTTTTGTTTGCAGTGTTGGTTACCTTCCTTAAGGAAGGATGTAAATGTGTTGGGGGCAATTCAGAGGTGATTCACTGGATTGGTAACAAAAACAGAAGTTGCTGGAAAAGCTCAGCAGGTCTGGCAGTATCTCTGGGTGGGATAAAAATCAGAGTTAACATTTTGGATCTGTTGACCCTTCCTCAGAACATACGGGTTTCTATTGAGAAGATAGGGTAGTCGGCGGGGGGAGGGTATGGAGTAAATGATATGTGGGAACAGAGCCCAAAGAGAGAAAAACAAGTTGGATAGACAAAGGAGTGGATAATGATCTGGCTGGGAGGGTGAATAGCTGTTAACGGGGACTGTTAGTGACTAACGATAAGTAGTGTGTAATGGCAGACTGTGATAACAAGGCCTGGTGTGTGGGTCAGGGACGAGGACAAATGAAGAGTTCAGGCCCCAAAATTATTGAACTCAATATTGAATCCGGAGGGCTGTAGGGTCCCCAAGCAGAAAATGAGGTGGTGTTCTTCCAGCTTGAGCTGAGCTCATCTGGAACACTGCAGCAAGCCTGAGACAGATGTTGGCCAGGGAACAGGGTGGTGTATTAAATTGGCAGGCAACTGGAAACACTGTCTTTTCTCCAGGCAGAACATGGATGTTCTGCGAAGCAGTCATCCAACCTACACGTCATTTCCCCAATGTAGAGGAGACCACGTTGTGAGCAGTGAATGCAGTATACTAGTTTGTGGTAAGTGCAGGTAAAATTCTGCTACACGTGGAAGGTATGTTTGGGCCCTTGGATACTGGGGAGGGAGGAGGTAAATAAGCAAGTATTGCACCTTCACCGGTTACAGGGGAAGGTGCCGTAGCGCTGTGGAGGGGGTGAGGGAAGTGTGGACCAGGGCCTCCCTGAGGGAACAGTACCTGCAGAAGGCGGACGAGGAAGGGGAGGGGAATGTGTGTCTGGTGGTGACATCTTACTGGAGGTGGAGGAAATGCCAGCTGATGATCTTTTGGATGTGGACGCTGGTGGGATGGTAAGTAAGGACAATGGAAATCCTCTTTGCTGCATTGGTACTTTGAGTGGTTGTTGTATGGGGAGTGGTTGGACAGGCTGGCTTTATTTCTTCTGGAGTTTTAGAAGAATGCAGAGTAAGAAGCATGTAAGAACCAAAACTGTCTTGACAAGGTGAACCATTTTAGGACACGTGAGTATTTTTGAGGGTTATGCAACTTTGGCTCCCTGCTCAGAAGATGGCGGAAATGAGCTTAATAAATATTTTTAAGCTGGAGGTAGATTCTTGTTAGGTGAGGGAATGTGGAATTCAATACAAACAGGTCAGCAATGATCTACTTGAATGACGGAGCTGGTTCTTACTTCTGCTTCTATTTTTCTGTTTGCATCTCTGTAATTGCCTTAGCCTCTCAACTCTGAGAGATCTGTACTCTGATTCTGGCCTCTTGAATATACTTGATTTTAATTGGTCTCTCCAAACCCCTCAGCTCTGTCTTTCTTTAAGGTGATCCTCAAAACCACCTGCTTTGACCGTCTGGACATACGTTGCATAATATTCTAATTTTACTGTATATAACAATGAATTGCCTTGTGAATTTTATTACATTAAAGATGCAATATAAATGTAAGCTGTTGACTTTGTGTGGAATGCCAATGGTCCCATCAGTTTGAACAGTACAATCATGCGATGTGCCATCTGTACCTATTCCTGTAAAACTCAAACCACTTTGAATCGCTGTCTGTATACAATATCCAGCCCTCAGTAAACAATCAATCTGATTTTCATTCTTTTAATTCCAGGATACAATCACTTGGACGTGGCAAGGACCTGGAGCGTAAGCTGACTTAATTTTTGTTTATTCTTGTCAGTATATTGATATTTGTTTAGTACATCAATTAATAAGATTAAGCTTTTCATTGATTTCAAAAAAAATTATCCTTGGAGGTAAATACCAGTGAAGATTTGAGTTGGAAGGACATGGGGATGAAATCAGTGTATCCTGACTTGGGTGAAGACAGGAGTAGTATGCATTTGCCTACCGTTGCTAGTGAGAAAATGCCAAACTTAAATAACAATGTGAATACTTTTGACTAAAAGAATGAGATGAGAACTAAATATCATGGTGTTACTCAATGCTATGCATAGCCTGTTTATCAATTTTCAAAGTAACAGATAACCAGTGCCTACTGTATCGAAACACTTCAGTAGACGTCTTCGTAATTGGACATTTGTCATAACAAGTAATGAGAGCTTTTTTGCCCTGTAATAAATGTGAGGATAAAAGGATAACTATAGTGACTTAGAAAATATTTTTTGTTTACAGCATTCACTTAGTTCAAGATCATTTTATACAAATGTATCTTACAGGATTTTTGCAGAAGTTAACTGCGTAGAAATCTCTTCAATTAGTCATACTGTCTTTGCAAAGTACTTCCTTTTGGCCACAGGTGAGGTTCCAGAGGTCTGGAGAATAGTCAATGTTGTCCCATGATTTAAGAAGGGTAGTAGGGATAAGCCAGAAAACTTCAAGCCTATGAGCCTCATGTCATTGTTGGGGAAGTTATTGGAAAAGATTGTCAGGGACAAGCTCTATTGGCACTGAGAAGCAAATGGACTTATTAGCAATAGACAGCATGGTTTTGTGCAGGGGAGGTCGTGCTTCATTAACTTGACTAATTTTTTTGAGATGGTTAAGATGAGTAATGAGGGAAAAATGATTGCTGTCTACATGGACTTCAATAAAGCCTTTGACAAGGTCTCTCGTGGCAGACTAGTACAAAGGTGAAGTCATATGGTATTAGGGGTGAACTGGCAAGATGGATTCAGAACTGGCTTAGTCAACAGAGATGGGGTAGTGGTGGTAGGATCCTTTTCAGAATGGAGGGTTGTAACTAGTGTTCCACAGGGATCAGCGCTGGGACCTATGCTGTTCGTGCTCTATGTAAATAATTTGGAGGAAAATGTAGCTGGTCTAATTAGTAAGATTGCAGAAGATACAAAGGTTGGTGAAGTTGCAGAAAGTGAGGAGGGTTGTCTGAGAACATTGCAGGACATAGATCAGTTGGAGGCATGGGCAGAAAAATGGCAAATGAAGTTTAATCCAGACAAACATGAGGTGATGGGTTTTGGAAGGCCAAGTACAGATGGAAATTGTACAGTGATTGGCAGAACCCCTAGGGGTATGAATATGCGAAGGGATATGTGTGTGCAGGTCCACAGGTCACTGAAGGTGGCAGTGCAGGTAGGTAAGGTGGTTAACAAGGCCCATGGCATGCTTGCCTTTGTTGGAAGGGGCATTGAATATAATGATAAGCAAGTTATGCTGCAGCTTTATAGAACTTTAGTTTGGCCACGCTTCGAATATTGTGTACAGTTCTGGTCACCACACTACCAGAAGATGTGGATCCTTTGGCGAGGGTACAGAAAAGGTTTACCAGGATGTTGCCTGCTATGGGGGATTTTAATTATGAAGAAAGGTTAGATAGATTGGGTTTGTTTTCACTAACGCAGGAGATTGAGGGGTGACCTCAAGTTTATAAGATTGTGAATGGCATGGATAGAGTGGAAAGTTTTGAGGCTTTCTCCCCAGGGTGGAGGGGTAAATTACTGAGGCGACACAGATTCAGGGTGGGGGTGGTGGAGTTTTAAAAGAGATGCATGAGACAGGTTTCTTTTCACACAAAGTGTGGTGAATGCCTGGAATCTGCTGCCAGAGGTAGTGATAGAAGCAGACACAATAGCGACATTCAAGAAGCACCTGGACAAATACATGAATCGGAAGGGAATAGAGGGATACAGATCCTGTGAGTGAAGGCAGTTTTAGTGTGGAAGGACAGAATTGTCGGCACAGGCTTGGAGGGCCGAAGGGCCTGTTCCTGTGCTGTATTATTCTTTTTTCTTATCAAGGAGCCCTAGCAAAACTGGTATCAGGGGCAAGCTCTCCTCTGCTTTGAGTCATACCTGACATAGGGAAATGGCCATGGTTATTGGTCAGTCATCTCAGCTCCAGAGCATCTCTCGGCAGGGGTTCCTCAGGGTAGGGTCCTAGGTTCAATCATCTTCAGCTGCTTCATCAATGACCTTCTCTCCATCATAAGATCAGAAATGGGGATGTTCACTGATTGCAAATATTCGTGACTCCTCAGATACTGAAGCAGCCAGTGTTCAAATGCAACAAGATCTGAACAATATCCAGGCTTGGGCTGACAAGTTGCAACTAACATTCCTGCCCCATACATGCCAGCTCCAATAAGAGACAATCTAACTGCCACCCCTTGACATTCAATGATGTTGCCATCGCTGAATCCCCAGTATCAATATTCTACGAGTTGTCATTGACCAGAATCTCAACTGGACTCACCACATAAACACTGGCTACAAGAGCAGATCAGAGGCTGAGAATACTGTGGTGAGTAACTCACCTCCTGATTCCAAAGCCTGTCCGCCATCGACAAGGCACAAGTCAGGAGTGTGATGGAATACTCCCTACTTGTCTGGATGAGTTCCTCTTCAACAGCACTCAAAAAGCTTGACACCATCCAGGACAAAGTAGCCCTCTTGATTGGTACTAAACCCACAAGAATCCATTCCCTCCACCACCAATGTTCGGGAGCATCAGTATGTACTATCTACAAGATGCACTACAGAAATTCACCATAGATCCTCAGACAGTATCTTCCAAATCCACAGCCATTTCCATTTAGAAGGACAAGGACAACAGATACGTGGGAACACCACCATCTTCAACTTCCCCTCCAAGCCACACTCCATCCTGACTTGGAAATATATTGCCATTCCTTTGCTGTAACTGGGTCAAAATCTTGGAATTCCCTCCCTAATGGCATTGTGGGTCAACCCACAGCAGGTGGACTGCAGCGGTTCAAGAAGGCAGCTCATTACAATCTTCAAGGGCATTTGGGGGCTGGCAATAAATACTGGCCAGCCAGCGACACCCATATCCCCTACAAATGAATGATGTCTTTAAGAGTACTGGAGGTCTTAAAACACGTAAAGGTGGATAAATCCCTGGTTTCTGGTCAAGTTGTTTCAGCGGCGGGAGTCCAGGAGGAAGCGCGAGGGCACCCTGGGAAGGTAAGCCTTTCGATTATAGAAGTCTTCCCTCGTGTGACTGTGGCCTTTCAGTTGTTTCAGTGGCGGGAGTCTGGGAGGAAGCGCGAGGGCACCCTGAGAAGGTAAGCTTTTCGATTATAAAAGTCTTCCCTCGCGTGACTCCATTTTTGCAGCAGCAGTGAGAGCGAGGACCGGGGGCTGCTGGGAAGGTAAGTTAATCCTTTAAAAACTTACCTTGTGAATAGGCAGAGCGCACGCTGAGCAGGAGCGGACACGGGACGGCTGAGTAAGTGAGGTAATATATTTGGGCAGTTGCTTTACCCGAAACATTACCAAGGTAGTGTCTCCCACCCATCCTCCTCCTCCTAACCAAAAAAAAGGTTCTGAGCACCGATTTGGTAAGGTTACTAGTTTTTTTTTCAATAGTCTGTTTGGGAATTCAGAACAGTGGGAATGGATGTTAGGGCAGTTGCATGGTCCTCCTGTAGAATGTGGGAGGTAAGGGTCACCACTAGTGTCCCCACTGACTTCATCTGCGGGAAGTGCACCCAACTCCAGTACCTCGGAAACCGCGTTAGGGAACTGGAGCTGGAACTAGATGAACTTCGGATCATTCGGGAGGCTGAGGGGGTAATTGAGAGGAGTTACGGGGAGGTAGTCATACCTCAGGTACAGGAAAAAGGTAGATGGGTTACAGTCGGGACGGAAAGGGAACAGGCAGACAGTGCAGGGATCCCCTGTGGCTGTTCCCCTCAATAACAGGTATACCGTTTTTGGATACTGTTGGGGGGGGGGGGGGCGGACTTACCAGAGGTAAGCCATGGGGTACAGGTCTCTGGCACAGAGTCTGTCCCTGTTGCTCAGAAGGGAACGGGGGAGAGGAGGAGAGCATTAGTCATTGGGGGCTCCATAGTTAGGGGGACAGATAGGAGATTCTGTGGGAGCGAGAGAGACTCGCGGTTGGTGTGTTGCCTCCCAGGTGCCAGGGTCCGTGATGTCTCGGATCGTGTTTTCGGGATCCTTAAAGAGGAGGGGGAGCAGGTCCAAGTCGTGGTCCACATAGGCACCAACGACATAGGTAGGAAAAGGGATGGGAATGTAAGGCAGAAATTCAACGAGCTAGGGTGGAAGCTTAGAGCTAGAACAAAGAGTTGTTATCTCTGGTTTGTTACCCGTGCCACATGCTAGCGAGGCAAGGAGTAGGGAGAGAGAGCAGTTGAACACGTGGCTACAGGGATGGTGCAGGAGGGAGGGATTCAGATACCTGGATAATTGGGGCTCATTCTGGGGTAGGTGGGACCTCTACAAACGGGATGGTCTACACCTGAACCAGAGGGGTACCAATATCCTGGGGGGGATATTTGCTGATGCTCTTCGGGAGGGTTTAAACTGATTCAGCAGGGGGATGGGAACCTGAATTGTAGCTCCAGTGTACAGGAGGTTGAGAGTAGTGAGGTCATGATTAAGGTTTCAAGGTCGCAGGAGTGTACCAGCAGGCAGGAAGGTGGTTTGAAGTGTGTTTACTTCAATGCCAGGAGCATCCGGAATAAGGTGGGAGAACTTGCAGCATGGGTTGGTACCTGGGACTTCGATGTTGTGGCCGTTTCGGAGACCTGGATAGAGCAGGGACAGGAATGGTTGTTGCAGGTTCTGGGGTTTAGATGTTTCAGTAAGATCAGGGAAGGTGGTAAAAGGTGGGGAGGTGTGGCATTGTTAGTCAAGGACAGTATTACGGTGGCAGAAAGGACGTTTGATGAGGACTCG